CTTCTGGGTTTTTATCTAGGTCAGGGTGAGTAGGTTGACGCTGGTTGTGATTCTCTTTACATGCTGTACTTACTGATCTAATTCTGAACTTCACAGTATCTAGTTGCCAAATGTCTAATGACATCCCTTATGGAATGGGAGCTTGTTGGCAGAGAACAGGTACTGTTCTTCCTAAAGCAGTTGTAAAGCGTTTTTTAAATTTCATGAAGATAACTGTTGAATCTTGTTTTCTACTTATTGTTACCTGACAAGATAAAACTTTGTTTAATGTTGGTACTTTGCAGCTCCCACAATGTAGTAGAGGCAGACAAAGCTTCAAAGTCTCGCTTCTGTCAACCCTTCAACAAAAGTGGACTTTCAAACACTGCATATACTCAATCATTCTGACTTCGGTGCTGTCTTTTTTTTTTCTTCTTGCTGCATTGGTGAACCAGTGGGACATGGACTAATTATACTTTTCAGGGACAGTGGGCAATGATTATGGATTGTTGGATATGTTCCACTGTTTCTAGGGACTTCCACATAACTTGGATGTTTACTCTTGGCTCCAGCTTGCCAGGCTCTTCTCCTCTAAGCAGAGCGTTTTGTTTAGTAGAGCTTTGCTTATCAAAAGGAGTATAGCAAGGCTTTTGGTGAACGAACAGAGCTTTTGAGTAGAGACTTCTTTGTGCTGCTATTGCAGAAAGAACAATATTAATATTAAATAGCTGAACCAGAGTATCCCAAAGAAGATTGTATGATGTAGAAGGATGCCAGAAAGCCATAGAATTTTTAGGCTTGGTACCTTAATAGTAATGTTGTATGACTTTGTGGTAAGTTGGGATGCTTCTTCATGTTACCTGTAAAAGCAAAGGAATGAGTAATTCAATTCTGTTAAAATGGAGCTTAAGATGTATCATGAAGGTTGGGCAGTAGCATTTTCTGAATCAGCTCTGCAAGTCTGATTTATGTATGGAGCAGTTAGAGAGGTGTTTTGAAATACATGCTCTTTGGGATATACAAATTTCTCCAAGCATATATTCTGAATTTTGCTGCTTTTGAAAAAAAATACTTCCCTGTTTTCTCCTGTTTTCTTTTTCTCTAGTGGCAAGTTTATATTGGAAAACTAAGAAAACTTAGTGTTTAATAGTGACTGGTTGCTTATGTGCAGATGTATATGCCCTTTACTGCCTTTTTGTCTTTTTTTTTTTTTTCTCCCATGTCCTGCAAGTCATGGCTGGGCAAGAGTCAGCACATACTGTAAATAGCTGTGCTAATTTGTTCAGGTGTCCTGCCTAGGCAGCTGTCAGGCCAGACAAAACACAGAACTGAAGCTCATGTTGAAGTATGGGCAACTAAAGTTGCTGATCTGATATTTTTTTTTACATTTCCACTAATATTTTTTTGGTTATAGTTAATCTTTTAGTACCTCAGGTGCTGTCAAATTCAGATGGTGGATTTAAAAGCTGTGATTAGTGGAGAGTAGTAAATCTTAAATAATTTTGAAATAAAAAATGTGATGGCCTCATCAGTAAAAACATTCACTTTTCTCACAGAACTTTTTGCACAAGGTTCAGTACTGTAAGTAACATTTTAAGGCTATGGAAAGATAACTGTTTCAAAAAACAACAATTGTATGATGATGCAAGCTCTGTTTCTGACTAATCTTTTTAAAATTTTGATTTCCAGTTGTGATTTAATCCTATGGTATTGCACAGGACCCTGCCATTTGGTTGTTTGTAGGTAGCTGAAAATTGTGCATTATGGCTCCCTTGAACCATAATTAATGCAATATTGTGGATCCCTGTCAAGTCACATGATAGTAACAAAAGTATAGCTAGAAAGAGCAGACAGGTCACCAGCAAACAAAGACAGACAATGGGCCTTTTATTGTATTCTGAATGCTTGCTTGGAATGGCTGCTGATGTTCAAAGCATTGTGTGGTACTTCATACGGAAGTTGACAAAACTGTGCCTTTTACTAGCTTCTGATGTGATACCAGAGCTTTATAAAATTTGGCTTTATAAAGGACTTGACTGTATTAAAGAGTTCTAAGAAACTTCTTTTTCTGAGAACTCTAGGTAAGGAAGTTTACTTGAAATTTAACTTGCATCTGTGGTGTGGTAGTGTTCTAACCTGTGTTTGTATAGCTACTGCTGTCAAACTCTGTTAAAATAGAAACTTCTTGCTGAAGGGTGTCTAAGTCTGGGTTCTTTTTTTTGGTGATTGTGTGGGGTTATCTGTTACCCATTAGTAATACTGTTCTCTCTGCTACCAGTAACAGAGAACCAATAAAGAGTGCCTGGCAGGTTTAATTACATAAATTATAGTGACTTGAGGTGTATTTCAGTTGTTACTGCTTTTGTGTTTAGAAGAAATTAGTTGCTCCAGAAGTATTTTGGAAGCCTGCTTTCTCAAGGTTTACAAAAATAGCAATGCAAGAATTGACACCTTTAAGAAGCTCATATCATTTTTAGCTAACAGTGTGTTTGGACAGCAGAGTCCTCCTTCGAACCTGTTTGCATATTCATAGAACTGTTAATCTGCTATAGCTGCATAGCTGGTAAATGATCTAAAGTCACACAGGACCTTGTTCTTGGATTTCTCCTAGAAATTGCCTGTAGTGTTCAGGATGGTTTGGGACTTATTTGATACGGAGATGGTTGTTTTTTTTTTTCCTTTTCCCCTCACTCTAAATGCTTAGGCACTTCAGGGTGAAGATGAAGCAGAAAACTGGGAGGGAGAAAGGTGAAAAACTGGGTTGTGATTTGCTTGTTGCTGTGAGTTGATCTCAGTAAAGGTTTCAGCAGCACTAGTGATGTGGTAATTGTGATTAGTTTCTTTGATCTGACTTGTTTTGGGTGGTAGGAGGAGGAGGAGTAATTTAATGGCCTGATAAGTGTGGCAGAGAGGCCCTCTTTCATTCACTAGCACCATCTTTAGGCTGGATGTAGACTGATCATCACAGTATAGGCCTGAGTGTTAGTCTGGTAGGTGTGGGATCAAATAGGGGTTATTCTAACACTTGTCTTTCTGGTTGTCTGAAGTTAGGCACAACTTTCTTCAGTGTATCTTGATGTTCCTCCCAACACTGAGGTTGGGGCTGGAGCAGGGGGAGGGTGGTTGGGGGGGCATGTGTAGATTTGGACACGACCAACTCCTGCTGCCAGATATGCTGTAACTAGTCACAAACAGGACTTCTCTTCCTCCTAGCAATCATATGACTGCTGGTTGGTACAGTTATACTCATGAATCTAAGTGTGGGAAGACTACTGCTGGTCCACATCAGACTATTCACTGCAGATGTTTAAAGCTATTCCCATAAATGTTCTGACTTTATAAATTGTCAGCAAAAAGTAGTGCTTATGTGAAAGATTGCTGCTATTAAAATAGTGCTTCATGCTATTAGCTATTATTTCAATAGACTTGTGACTCTTTTGACTAGGCTTGTATCTTCTACCTTTGTACGAAGAAGTATTAAATATCTTCAGTTTCATTTTAACTGTTACCTTACTGCAAATAATGACTGTTTAAATTTATGAACTCAACTTAGTCCATTGAACTTAACCCTTTTGTTGCGTACAGTTGCTGAATGAATGCTGAAAAGCTGAGTTTATTTGAAGTAGGAAGTACTGATCGTATTTTTAGATGACTATTTAAATCACTACTTTAGAGCTATGCTTTGATCATTAGATCTGTTTCCCATTGTTGTTGTCTGTCTCTATCCAGTAGGTGACAACAAGGATTGTGGAGTGTTGGACATGCAAGCAGGCTATATAAAATTGAGACATTCTTACGTTGTCTGTCTAATCGCTCTAATCCTGAACAATCTTTGAAATGACCTATACTATTTATCATGTTTGACAACTAGTGATCCTGAAGATGTTAAGTTGCTGCAATTTTGGTGAAATTAGCTGACCGGATAAAGAAGACGACCTCTCTGGGAAGACGATGTAGTGGGAGTATCCCAGCTTCTACCTTGATTTGCCAGCTTTCAGGGCAATCGGTTTATGCAGATGTTGCTTGTTGGAGCTTGTACTTCCTCTGAAGGTCATGGGGACAATGCTGAAAACCTGACAGTATTGCAGGGATAGAGAGCAACATTTGTAGGAGGCATGTAAGAGGGATGATCAGGACTAT